TTTTTTTTTTTTTTTTTTTGACTTTTGAAATAATTGGACTTTATACAGTTTACAATTGATGATCCAGGTTCAAATATATTGGGAACCCAATTTCAGTTACAAGTCATAAAAAAAGGGGCTTTGTGGATCTAGATAGACTCTGAAGTGGGTTTTTGTTGCATGCAGCAGTGGAATGTCGACAATAAGTAGAAAGCATAGTCCTTTCTTACCTTAATCTCTCTTTATGGTTTTTATGGTTTTTAAGTTAGAGGTCTTTAATATAAAATTTTAAATTTTTAATTAAATGGCGTTATCTTGAACATCATGCTCCTTTTACAATTGGGCCAGCGCATGTAAAGATTAGAAGTTAAATTTAGATTTGTGGTTAAAAACACAATTCTATATAAGGTTTGTGTAACCTCTACTGTAAGAGTATATGTAAGAGTATAAGTTAAGGTATAATAAATATATTTTTTTATAATTAATTTATACAATAAATAATAAAAATTAATTTTTTGTAATATTATTGTTACGTGAATAATTTTAATTAATTAATTAAATTTAAATTAATTTTTACTTTTTTTTGAACATTCAATTTTTATTTTTTTATATATTAATTATAAAATAATATATTTATTATACATTTATCCTAACATAGTATAAAAAAGTCCTTTTATATAGTGCTTCCCCGTTCAATTAATGTTTTCTTTACTTAAATAATAGGGTATATAATAAAGGATATCCTTTCTCTTTCTAATTCCCTTTTCATTCATTTAGTATTCAAATTTGAGCTATTCTCCTCTGGGGACCTCCCTCTTAGTTAATTAGTTAAGCATTATTTAATGAAAATTTTGGGTTAAATTTTGAAAGCAAACCGGATTGTCGTGAGAAATTTGATGGCCAAAGCAAGAACAGAGCAAACACCAAACAGTATCAAGACTGCCAACCATCAATCCAAATTCTAAACATCCCGTTGACAATAAAATCTTCGGTTAGGAATGCCTCTTTTTATCTTTTTTCGCCTCTCTTTATTAATAGGATATATCTTGTATTTTGAGCATTTATTGTACTATTATATAATTAATTTATATAAAAAAATTATAAAAACTAATTTTTATTTTAATAATATTATTATGTCAATAGTTTTAATTAATTAATTAATTAAATTGAAATTGATATTTTTATTTTTTATATAAATTAATTATAGTAAAAAAATACAATAAATACACATTTACCCTGAACTCTAAGAGCACGAAATAGCAAAAAGCTTTCTTTAATTTCTCATGTCTTCAAGCTGTATTTTAAATGATGGGGCTTTGATGCTGTAATGGTGGGGGGAGATGCTGGGAAGCTTTCCAACAGCATGATTTTCCTTTCAAGGCTGGGATGTGATTTGGTTTGCAGCCGTATGGACAATTTGGTTAGCTCGAAATGAAAAGCTGTTCAAAAGTTAGGCTGCAGGCACATAATCTTTGATCTCCCACAATCCTATTTTATAATTAATTCTTTTTCACTCAATGGACACACATATATTGATTTTAAAATAAATATATAGTTTTATAGTTTAAATTATAAATGATTAATCGTTGAATAGAAAGATTTTTTTTTAAAATCCAATGATTAATATTTTTTTTATAGATTTTTTGTGTGTTGTATTTTTAAGTCACAAATTAAATATATATTTATTACATTTTTTAGTTAATTTGTAAAAAAATATAGATGTTAACTATAATTTAATTAATTAATAAATTAAAATTATTTATCTAACAATGATAATAAAATAAATATCAATTTTTATAATTATAAAAAATATATTTATTACATTTTAGATTTTTACTATAAGATTATATATTAGACAAATCCTTTTTAGGTTTAATTTGATGGTTAATTGAACAAAATCCTCAATAGCAACATGGCTTTTTATCCCTTTCTCTCTCTCTCTCTTTTTCCTTTGATGTTCATGGCTTCTTAAATTTTTTTTCATATTTTATGTACATGACCTTTTTTTTTTCTAAAAAACGTTAGGATGAGATTCAACCCGTATCTATTAAACCTTAAACGAAAATTTTTTTACAATAGAAATATAACCACAAATTCACAAAATCAGTCTCATAAACATGACCTTTTAGCTTTAAATAATAATATTTTTTTCATTGTTTCAATTGTCAGAGAGTATGCCTCCTCAAAAGATTTTAAGTGCGTATCCAACATGAAAGCAATAATTATTTGTTTGACAAAAACAATAAGATTATTCCCAATTCACGCCAAAATTATTGTACGTTACTACTTCCCTATCACCGATTCACAGGTGACTCATAAATCCTACCCAAACCTATTAATGGGATCAAAATTTAAAACAATGAAAAGTTAAGGACTTAAAATGTAGTTATACCTAATAATTAAATATAATATAATTAATTTTCAAATCCAAAATGTTTATAAAAAAGATAATTTAAAAATAATTTTTTATTATTTTTTTAACAATTTTATATATTATTAAAATTATTAATTTTATTTATTTATTTAAAATTTATGATATTAAATATATATTTATTTAATGGTATATAAAAATTATATAAAAAATAATATAAAAATATTATTTCTGTATCATTCCCTAAGGGAAACCATCGTCTGTTATGGAATCGACACGTAACCTACTCTCTAATTCTTAATCGGTTTTCGACCGTTGGATTGTAAAAATTATGGCCGTTGCATACGCTCCCCATCTCACGCCCCCTTATAATTTAAAAACTAAACCAAACAATCTCGTCTCCCAATAAAACCAGCAAAAAAGAAAAAAAGGCAAAAAAATCTACGCTGTTTCGGTTTCCTCAGCAAGACCCACCATGTCGAGGATGAAATCCGATCGCAAGCCGCCGCTCCCCAAGTCGCCTGTACGGGTACGTCCCCGTCGCGTTCTCGGATCAAACTCAACCGCCTTGCAAACTCCGCCGGGTATGTACCGTCAAATCAAATTTAGTTTGGATATCTTGTGCTTTTTTCGGATTTTTGATGAATCTAGTTGCAATCAACAAATTTTTTTTGGGTGAATCTTTGAATTGTTACAGGTTCTTTAACGAAATCTCAGAAGCCGATCCGTTCCTGCAACATCGAAGAATCGGAGATACGGCCTGAATATCAGTCCATCTCCTGTGAACTACGGGCGTTGGCGAAGATGGTGAGAGACGAGTTTGGAGGTGGAGAATCGGAAAACGCCATGGCAGCGGCTAATAACAGTCTCAGCGCTAATTCCACTCCTCTGTTCGAGAGGGGCAGGTTTTATGATGAGTACTCTGCAAGGAGAAACGAGAGGCTTAAGAGAAAGAAAGGAGAAACAGGAAATGAACCGAAGACCGCATACAAGCTTGGAGTGACTGTTGAATCTTCGAAACGAAGGGATTCGAAGAAGCTTGAGAGCTTGAGGAAATCTGTGTCAGCTGCTTACTCTGTGGAGAGGAGTGAGAATCCGAGGTATATGCTGAGAAGTATGAGTAAAGAGAACAAGAAACCTCCCCTGGCTCTGGCTGTGAACAATGAGAAACCTGTGATTGGAAGTGGAAGGAAAACAGGGGTCAGGAGAGTCAGGTGAATTTGAAGACTAATTAATAATTATCCACTATTCAGTCTTCTTTGTACTTGTTGGTGTAGGAAAAACTGGGATTTTCATTTCATTATGGAATGCCATGACTAGTAGTTGCCTCGTGTCTGGTCTTTGTTTCTCAAAAATTTGAGAAATTCCTTTACCATGCTTTATTTATTATTACATTCAAATTGTCTTCACTATAGAGATGTGAAGTATTGGTGGAATGCAATAGATTTTATTTATTTATTTATGTTTGCCAAACAGCCAGTGCATTCTCGGAGCTAATTGTATGTTGATATCCAGTGCGATGGCCCCTGATTTGGGGTGAATGCACTTGAACTGCAAATCATAAGAGAAGGGCTTTAAAAAAGGTTATCCGTTGTTGTGTAACCCATCATTTGACATACCATAAAGGAGCATTTCACCTTTGAGAAAGGTGCATTTCACCACATGCCACCTGTCTGTATCTAAATGCTATCCAAAAACACAATGTTGATTCAGAAGGAATCCAAGAGAAATGGTGCTTGTCCTTTACAATATTGTTAGGGAACCACAAAATTGACAAAATCAAAGAGTTCTACACAATCAAATCTAATCATCGGATTTTTTTTATTTTTTTTTGCTTTCGAAAATTAAAGAGCAGCAAAATGAGCTATGGTCATGTTATTGACAATCCTTGACCCAATCTCAGTTGTTTGCTAACACTTCTAACTCATTCACTCTTTAAAGAGAGCTAAAGAAAAATAAGTTCACTGTGTTCTTCAGGTTATGTTGTGACCAAAAGATATGCAAGACCTTTTAGATATTCTACAATCTCAGATCCTCCAAGCTTTGAACTCCCAAATACTCTGTCAACAAAAGTAATTGGAACCTGTAGACAAGTAGGAGAAAAGAATGAGTTAAATGGCTAGGAACAAGGAAATGAATGCACAAAATAGCTACATGATTTATCTATATAGGTAAATGCACCTAAAACTAAAATATTAATTAACACCTGAGATTCTCAGAAGCAACTAAATATAAGTAGCCTACTGTACTTGAGGTAAATCTTTTCACAATCAGGAGAATCATGGGCATCAGAGAGTCAAAGTATTTTCTATTTCAGAACTCCAAAGGGTAGAATGAGGGAAGGGATTGACAAAAATAGAAGTTAACTTGTTAACTAGGAGATCAAAACAATTATGGAATCAGTTTCTCATCATGGGCATTGTTTCATTTATGGAGGATCAAACAAAAAGAATCACATGGTATTGCTAGCATATGTGGGGAAAAGATTTGAATCAAGCAGGATTACTGGTTGTGTTTGAGATAAAAGATATAATAACCAAGGCATGGCCAATAACAAATTCTTTGCACTTAATGTTAGTAACCACATACTAGAAATGTAGAATAGCACAAAATTACATAAATTGGATTAAAAGTAAAACAGCAAAACTTTACTAATTAAATAGCAACGAGTGAAGTAGTGAACTATACCTCTTCAATATGGTAGCCTTCTCTGGAGGCTCGAACAATCATCTCCATCTGAAATACATATCCCTTACTAACAACAGAACTGATTACATCTTCAAGAACTGATTTCTTATAAAGCCTTCAAAATGTTTGAAAAAAAAAAAAATTTTGTTAGCCCTGAACTCAATGACAATTTTGAATTGCATTAGATTGCCTGAGACTGTTCATGTACCGGAAAGATCCAGTCAGATCTGATACTCCAGGCCACAAAAACGTTTGTGCGAGAACATTAGCTCCCCTACTGGTTAACTTCCTCATAAGATTCCAACCATGAACCCCACCACCTTTAACATACCTGGTCCCAGTAACTATGCTGGCACCAGTCTCTAACTGTTTCCTAACAAAGATTTAAGTGACACAAATAGGGAGAATGGTTCAATAGAATTAGTTATAATCAGTAATTAATTAGTAATAATGAAAATTTATTGTCATGAAGTTTCTTACTTGATAAAGCTTGGCAAGTACTTTGGCTGCATAACAACAAGCAAAGGCATCAGATATAAAACACTTTATATAGCTGATAAGATACAAGAAAAATAATGTTATGAACTGGGTTAAACTAGAAGAACCAGCAGCAAAAGACATACAGAAAAGAACCACTAACTTACATGGTGCGAGAGATCAGCATCCATGATGACAACAAAATTTCCAGAAGCATGTTTCAAACCATGGACATAAGCAGTTCCTGAAAACAATCACAAATCAACAGCCAAGTTCGACTTGTCACTCCAAAAAAGGACAGTCATAGTTCGTTTCATACCCAATCCAAGCTTTCTAGGTCTAGGTCGTAATAGCTGCATCAACAACAAAGAAACAGAGTCAAGCACAAACAGTTTACAATATAAGACCCAATTCAAATTGACGGAAACCCAGTACTTACAATTCGATCTTCTCCATACAATTGCTGCAGCTGTTTTACAACTTCCTGAGTGCCGTCAGGGCTCCCATCATCCACCACAATTATTTCAAAATCAACATCCCTTAACAAATGCATTCAGTTCACAGTGAATTGATTTAGCTCTTACACTAAATGAGGAACCAAAGATCCAAATTCAATAGGCACAAGAAAGGAAACAGGTATCAAGCGTATAGATCAGAATTTCCAATCAAGGATCTCCATAGTTCTAGAAGAAAAATTGAAATCAAAGAATTCAATGATCGAAGAAACGAAAACGAACCGGAGATGCTTGAAGATGAGGTAGACGACGAGAGCAATGTTGAGACGCTCGTTATAGGTGGGGATTATTATGCTGTATTTGTTCTTCCCCTTCTTCTGTTCCTTCTCCTCCATTTTTCTCTTTCCCCCGAAACCCTAGAAGCTCCTTCTCCCTGAGAAAGACAATCGTTTGTTCCGCCGGAGACGAGAGACCAAGATGATGAATCGTCTTCGCTTCTTTCTTCGCCGTCTCTCTCTTCCCTAAAATTTCCCCCTTTTTCCCTTTTTTTTTTTTTGAGGAAATTAGCTATCAGCCATTCAGCCCGACTTCAAAAAATTAGCTCCAAAAAACTCAAAAAACTAAAATACTCTGGACTCATTGTAAAAAATTATAATTTTTTAGTTATAATTAATTAACTAAAATTAATTAAAATAACATAATTTTTTTATTAAATTTTTTTAATGTC